TTTTTTTTTTTTTTTTTCAATGAAAAAGAAAATATTCAAGTTTACGACCTCGCGGAGACCCCATTCATGCGGGGCCTCTCCACGGTGCCGAGGAATGCAGCAAGGCGAGTTTTTAAATTCTACTTACAGCGTCTTTAAATTCGCCAAACCCGTGAACATCTTGTTGTGCACTTCCCTCAGCTTATTTTCCGAGAGGAGCCTGTCAGTGAATAAATGACAGTGTCATTAGTGTCATCGTTAACGAAAATTTACTTGACGGCCCGAAGGTACCAATAACCCATCCCCATTAGAATGGGAATGCCTCCGTCCTTCCGGTACCAAATGAAACGCGTTACGCCTCGGCGAGTCCCAATAACGGATCTCGAACGGATTGCTTCTCCTCTATTTTTTATTACTTTCCTCTTTTTTTATTTTTTTTTTATATTTTTTTTTACCCTTTACCAGGAACAGCTAAATTCCATCTTATTGACAGTGTATTGCGTAACTTACAAGTCAGTGAGTTTGTGGGCTCCCTGAAAGGCAGATGCTTCGATCCGTGAGATCTTGTTCCTCCTGAGGTCCAGATGCCGCAGCTCTGGCAGCTTCTCGAAAAGTCCGTCCGCTCTGATCTTATCCAGCTCGTTATTTCCCAACAACCTACAAGGGACATGGTTACTCTTTCTCCTCCATACGAGATGAACTTTTCCTCCACGTTAATCTCAATGCAGTTTGGTACCGCACGATCTTGGACCACTTTTGGGCCAATGCTGGTCCTGGACCACTTAACGGTTTCAAGACGAGAACTTACAAGGTGGAAGTATAGATCGGTATGTCCTTTGGTATCGACGTGAGTTTCTTGTTGGAGCAGTCGACGGTGGCCTTGTCGCAGGTACAGGATGCTGGACACGCACCAGGCAGTACGCACTCGCCGGCTCTTTTGGTCAGTAACTCCTCGTCACCTGCGAACAATCCTCTTTGGCGTGAGACAGATTTCCCAAGGTCCTTTTGCCTGATCTAGTAAACGGTTGATCAGGAATTTACGACGTTACGATGATCATGCGTTATCACGAATTTTCATTGGATGGGCTGATTTGGATGACTTCGAGTGTCGTAGGAAGGAGTGTTCATCCGGTGGAATTTTTTTTTTTTTTCATGAGGCGGATGATTGTGACACTGCCTAGAATCGTTATCTTCCGAGGATGATCTGGAAATTTTTACAAAGGTCAGGTCAGGCTGTTTCGATGACAGTGACCCCCATATTTTTAAATCCGAACGATTCGTCGATTTTTTTTTTCCTTTGGTTCCTAACGCGATTAAACGAATGTTAATAAGCTTGGCATAGGAGTGACACATGCAACATTACCTTGACCTCGGTAGAAATCCGTTAAAAGCTCATAATGACTGAAGGACCAATTAATTACGTCATCGTCAAATTCTCATCACGAGACTCTCCTCGTTATCGATTTATGCATCGAGCAGTCTGACCATCGTGCGTATCCGGAGGATGGTACGCATTATCAATACGTACCCTAGGATGCCCGTCTTCGTGATCCTCGTGGAGGTGGGATATCAATTTTAAAGGAGCAAACGCAGATAAGAAATATCCTGAAAGGGACGCTAACGTACGAAGTCATACGTCTGATTGGTATGACGAACACGAATAGGAAGAACAGAATAAAGAGAGAGAGAAATAGAGAAATAGACGGATACAGAGAGAGAAGACAATAGTGGTTACCACAGAAATTGAACCAGGTTATACTACGTCACATTGATGATTAACAAGCACAGGAAAGAGAGAGAGAGAGAGAGAGGAACAATAGTACCGGTGACGAGGACGAGGATGAAGATGAAGATGGCCAAATGATATGAATTCCAAAGTGGGATAAGGGGGGTACAAACCTTAATCACCCTGTCGAAGTAAGAAGAGAAACTCAGAAGTCGAATCGTGCTTACCCTTACATTTGAACTTGTCGTCCTTCATCATGTCGATTTTTCTCTTGACGCTTCGTTTAGGTGCGGCGCACCTCGCTCCCGAGGTCTCAATCGGATGAGCATGAAGGTAGGCGCCCAGCCAGCGTAAATTGCAGTCGCAAATGAATGGGTTCTTTGCCAGGTGTCTGAAAGGGGAAGATGGAAATAGTAGATATTTTTTATAATACGGTTTCAGACGAAGGAGGATAAAAATAAATGAGAGACTCGGGGCTACGTTAAAAATTAAACTCAGCCCGATACAGACAGTGTACGTATGCTGCGTAGGTTGGCGAAAGTTCCGTTGGCCAAGGACTGGATGTTATTGTCGTAGAGAGACAGCAACGTCAGGCTGGTCAGATCGCGAAAGAGATCCGTCCTGATGCAGGATATCTCGTTAGCGTTGAGTAGCCTGGAATAAAACAATCGTCCAATTGTCAGGGAGACTGAAAAATACGATAAAGGCCAAAGGCGTACAGAGACACTGGCGTGGGCTATATAGGTGTTATGCATAATGCAAATCTCTTGAGTAGCACCGCTGGAATTATTCTGGCCTGAGGTGAGTGACTGTAATGGTGCTAATACTGTACACGGTCACTGTACGACTGACGCGGCACAGTTTTCTCGGAACAAATTAATAGATCACATCAATGCTAATTCTCACGTTTATGAAGTGTTACATGCAGTTTCAACTTGTTTTATCGCTCGCGGTTATTTACCTACGGTGCGAATCATTAACTGTCGCTAGTACCACTGCTGTGATTTATCTAGGTACGTATGAATATACATGCGTGATAGCGCTAGCTGACGTCTGGGACGAGAGAAAAGTTACTCACAGTAGCTGCAGGCTGGTCAGACCGTGAAAGACGCCGCCGGGCAGCTCGGTTATGTTGTTTCCGTAAAGTACACTGAAACGGTTGGATGTTTAGAGATAGAGGCGAAAAATTTATTAAATTAATGAAATATTCGAATTACGCAAAAAAAGTTATATAACCGTACATTGATTCCAGGGATTTGAGGCCGTGAAAGGCGTCTGAGGCTACTTTCTGAATTTTATTGTTACTCAGGTCTCTGAAAGAAAAAAATTTTTTATTTAATACAATTTCGCCCGGGGGTTCTTGGTGCGGGTTGGTGGGGCAGGTAAGGCAGAGTTAAGGGTTGCTTACAGTCTCCGTAACTTTCTGTAGGGTGAAAAGGCCTTGGGTGGTATCTCCGTGATGTTATTCTGCTCTAGTCGACTGCAAGTCAAGAGAAACCGTATGTTGTATTGTCAAATTTTGTTTCATATCGTTATCACCGTTTGTCTTTGCCACAGGGATATTTCACTTACAGTTCCGTAGTGTCTTCCGGCAGATGAGTGGGAATTTTCGTTAAAGACTTTTCCCTGCAGTCGACGATATCCTCTTCGCATCTGCACGGATGCGGACACAGTGGTTCGGCACTGCATTCCGAACCTGTTCGTTCAACAGGTCCTGAACATTTGAACTCGTGCTCCTTGATGGTTCGAAATTTTTTAAAGTTTAAGATAAAATTGCATAATATGTTTATCGTTTATTAGGAAATGTTTATTAGGAAAAAAATGGGATATGTGGATATGGGATATATGATATGTTTATTAGGAAAAAAAAAAAAAAAAAAAAAAAATCGCACCTGCAAATCCGACAATTTTTGATTCTTGAGATAGGGCGGCAGGGAACATCGTGTATTCTGGCCGAGACGCGAGAAAGACCTTAACAGTCTAGAGAGCCAGGCGAGATGGCAATCGCACGTCAATGAATTTTCAGCAAGCTTCAACGTCCGCAGACGCGACAGTCCTGACAGCATTTCCTTGCCGAGACTCGTCAGTTTGTTGTTGTTCAGCGTTCTGCGTAAGAACGATCAATTTGTCAATAATTGATAAGCCGCGCGAACAATTGATAACGACGACGGCATTCCGAAAACTTAATGCGAGATATATTCGGGCACTTACAAAACTTCCAAATCTTTGAGTTCGCGTATCGACGCCTCGTCGATGCAGGTCAAAACGTTGTTATCCAATAATCTGTAAAAAAAATTGTTTCCATAATCAATACAAACTACAAGGCAGTCAACTAAAATCAATAACAGTAAGGAACAAGATCGAATACTCACAAATGCTTAAGGGATGACACCCCTCTAAGGGTTTTGGGTCCAATCATAGTTATTTGATTGTAACTCAAATCTCTGTGAAAAAAACCCAAAAAATTTTTTGTTAAAGATAATCATAATTTTCGATATGGAATAATTTAATTTTTTTTTTATTATTTACGATGTCACGCAATTTTGTGAGAAAAATACAAATTTCACGAAAATATTCTCAAGCTGATTAAATTCAATCCATCATCGATAGGGGTAAATGCGAGAGTCTGAAATGTGTAGGTAAATGTGTATCTGATATGGCCAGGGGGGTGGGGCGTCGTTCTGGCACAATCGGCGTCGGTGCACTGGCCTGAACTACTTCGAACGGCAGTCGCGAGTTCGTCCTACATTTTCGACAAATTATTCAGTGCATTGAATACTGCAGCAAGTCGACGGTACTTATCCGGCTGGGGATTGCCAGTACATGCGTCTCAGTTACACCGATGTACATACGTATGGTTACAAGCGTCGGGACGCCGGTCTACAAGGGGCCAGGTCGTTAGTCATGTAACGTCGTGAGCATTCCGCTACTTTTGCTATCTGAAAATCTTGAGAAACGAAAGAATCCCAAAGTCATAAACTTTCATCATCCACAAACTTTAACCGGCTAAACAGCATCCAGTTGGACCGGATTAGATATAGGTCATAGAAGCAGCAGGTGGATGAGAGAGAATGACTAGCCTGGATACGTATCTGATTAAATGGATGAATGGACGGCTGCTTGAGTTACATACCTGCATATATATATATCAATTTGAAATCCAATTAGCTAGCAAAGTCTCCAGCATCAACGTCCTATAAATTCGCTATATGCAGTGACGAAGACGCGACGGAAGTGGCGTCAGCCACTTCTGGGAAGCTCAAAGTGGAATCTGGCGTTATCTCAAAAACTGGCTCGACGTTCGAGCACTAGAAACTTTCGAGTCTCGTTCGAGCAGCCCGAGCCATCCATGGCGTCTACTATCCACTTTAGCGCATGATGGATGGTGGCTATGCCATTTCTGTACCGGGTCTGGACCCATGGAATTTGCTCATCTCGTATAAAGTGTTACGAACTAGGATTCATCACGTGCACAGTTTTCATTCCGAGTTATCAAGTGGTGGCAGCTGCCAAGTGCCGCATTAACGAGCCGTATACAAGGGAACCGCATCGCCGTACGTTTCGCTGCTACAGCGAGTTGGCTTCGCGGAGTCGGCACGATTCGTGTAAAACGATTCGATAGTGATAGCATTTCATTGGACTCGTCTTAACCCAGTAAAAGGCCTCTGATTGACGCCGATCGATGTCGACGTCGTTTGAACTTTCCCGCGAAGAGAAGGGACAACGAAGGAAGCCTATCGCAAGGCGGGTAAAAACAATGTATAAGGGGTACCGCTCAGAATGATAATCGAAAAGTAGAACTTAACGGTACAGGGTATGGAATGCATATGGAACGAGGAAAAAAAGGTGACGTCACCATTCGGGGGTCTCTTAGAAAGTTCGACAGCAAGAAAACCTTCGTGCATAAGGTTAATGTGCTCGATGGTACATCGCTCATATTTCATAAGGCACGAGAGGGTAAGTATACCCGGTAACCTAACCTAACCTAGTCCCACGAGAGTACATATACAATACATAAAAATGTAGGTCGCTTACGGAGTCATAGGTAACAGTGAAAAGTTTATGCGGCTACATAGGATTCCCGTTGTTACACGAAGTTTGCAATGCACACGTGTCCTGAAACGTGCAATAGAGAACACTATAGGACACGTGTTATAGGACCCGGTGGAAACCTTTTTTATTATTCTTCTTCTTTTCTTTATTCTACCGACAACCTATTGCGAAGCGTCGCGACGCTTCTTTTACGTTATTTTTCCATACGGGTTTCACGCTAGCGGAATACCGTTATGTATGCATTACTTTTTTTTCTTGGCATTGTACAGCATTGTTGTATACTATATATAGTATACTATGTTTACAATTTTCTCATGTTTGTCGTGCACGTTACGTAAGCGTTTGCGAATTATTCTCGTGGAAGGATGAAGCCTGCCTCTCTCGGGTACCTTCGTGAAGGATCGGGCATTTTCGTTGACGTTTCGTGCAATTTTTAATTACTGTCGCGATGCCACTAATTAAACGTCAACAGTTACCGCGGGCGATCGTTGTTGCCAACCGCGAATATGCTGGCGGCGAGGGGGGAGAACGAGGGGAGGTATTACATTAAAAGGAGGTCGTGCGGTTTATAAAGAATTTTGAAAAAAAAAAAAAATTTTTTAATTTTTTGTCGACAGATCGATCACGTGCTTTTTCTATATTCTAATGGATTCTCGGTAGTTGTTATTGTCTTTACTTACAGTCTCTTGAGATTCATCATGTTGCTGAACAGTAAATCTGGCAAGTGGCGTATCTGATTGTTGTTGAGTCGCAATTTTTCAACGCCCACCAAATCCTTGAACGCTCCCTTCTCAATTGTATGGATCTGATTGTTTGACAATTGTCTGCAAACATAAACTCGTTTAGTTGTCAAATTTTTAATTGTACAGTTGCGAGTCACAGGTGGGAATATATTTTTTTCACTACAACGAGAGCTTCAAGTCTGTTATTTCGTATTACTCTGCACGACATCGATTACTTAGGTACGCAGATGCTGCACGTGCATATTGGCACTAAGGTAATCGGAATTATAAAAAAAAATGCAATTAATTAAGGATAGTAATACATACAGAACATGAAGAGTCGCCATGTCCTCAAAGTCCGTATTGAAGATTACGGAGATGTTGTTCCCTTGGAGATCTCTGAAAAAAGAAGAAACAAAGGGACTCGTTAAAAAATGAATAAAAGAATTTTTCAATCTCTACGTGTTTCGTTAATTAATTGTTAATTGAATTCTGTCCGGCAATAATCAATATTGCGCTATACACGCCTTGACTGTACTGCATACAAATTTGCTTCTTAGTTGCCTTGGCTAATATTCCAATGGAAGAGTCAACGGACGGTGTGCGAAGTCGAACGTTAAATGAAAATCAGAAAAGCGAAGAAAAGAATATTACGAGTCGCAGTTAAAGCGAAGACGTGTAGCTGTCAGGTACAGCCGTAGAAATGTGCAGTACTTGAATATCTTTGACGTGCAAGTTATTAAGGGTTTATTACACGGGTTCTTCGAGCTGCTTCTTTTGTCCAAGTAAAAAGCAGAAGCGACCAACATTATTAACCTCCTTCAGTTACTTTTTGCCCGTATGACTTATCTTGTCGCTGTAACGAAAATTCACCTAGGTTGACTTTACTTTAATCGATCGCGCCAGTCGACGAGTCTTTTATCAACTTTGACTTTCTTCGAGTTGAAACTTATCAGGAATTGCTACCGATCGCACTTGAATGCAATTTCATATACCAACCGCGTTATCAGGTTATCCCATAAGCAATGTGGTTTTCAGGCACTTGTGCGCCATTAAAGCGAAAAATGCATTACTCGTGAGATCACCCGGTATATTTTTGATACACGCCAAGAATAGTATTTTTTAAAATAAAATATCGAAAATAATTGAATCCCGATGAAAAAAATCAATTTTCGTTACGATATACATTTAATCGCGTTAATTAGATACACAGAGTACACTCGTACTTGGGCAGTTTGCATGTATGTCAGCCTTTACAGTTCACCGTCAGACACACACGGGCAGTCTGGTTCCCGCGACAGATTTGTGCTTCCAAGAACCGCGGTCCAGCGCGGCGCGCACAGCACGCTTTCACGCTCAATTAAAATAGCACCGCACCTTCTCGGAAATTGATAACGATAATTGCTGGAATTGCGCTACCTGACCGTAACTGTGCAATTATTATCAACCAATTACAACTAGACTGTTATATATCGTTACAAATCAGAGGGGAAAGAGATTGGAGGGGTAGAAGAGGGGGGGAAATTGACATACGACTTAATGCTGATGGACGCCGCTTTTATCCTTTATGGAATTTCAGATTTGACCTTGTGATAATGCATTTCCATATATAGTTACTATCGTCCAGATACTATTTATCATACGTACTACATGAGTGCCCCTACATATGTATATACATATATAATTTAAAAGGCACGTGTCATCGTCTAGCTGTCATAATATAGCCAGATTATCTGACGTATAAAAAAAAAAAGAAACATTTTTTTTCCTACACGCCTAACGAAGTCACATTCTTGTAATCTATTTAGGTCCATAGAACTGGAGTTGTAACCTCGTGGAATTTCATATGCGCGACCAGCAGCATCGTACGAGACGTATAAATATATATTTACACGAAGCAAGGTATAGGGAACTCGCATCGCGATAGTGTAGATGCAATCAAAGTTTGCAGACGAGCCACTCGGTTTCCTCTGGCTTGAGCGAGAAGAGGGCCAGCGGTGAAGAAGATTCACGTCAGAACCACAAGGATATCATCTTTGTCCTTACGTCGCGCGGTTCCCAGGATCCTTCAGCAATCCCGTTTAAGCCCTTGTACGCTCAGCAACGGCAGCAGCGAATTTCTCCCTTTTCGAAGATCAGAGGAGGCCCTCGAGGACTTTCCAGACACGTGATACCCCTGTAGAGCGTACGATTTCACGATGGTCTATTCGTCTCTCGTGAAAGGCAGCCTTTAAGGTAGCATCATCGTCGAAGACGTTTATCTAATCACTGTTACATAACTCGGAACGATCGTATGGCGTCATTTCGTAGGACACCCTGTAGAATTTTACGGGTACCCTACATGGACCCGACGATAGTGCCGGTACCCATCACGCGATAGAAATATACATTACGATACTCGTACGATAGTCTTCGGATAGTTCACATATGAATTTACGTACAGTCACATGTGCAGTCGGTGGATCTCGTCTTCGCGGGATCTTTCGTGAGAGCGTGGGTAGGTTGGGCAGGAACAGGTAAAGTTCCACAAGGAGGACCCGTGGGTTATATACAAGATAATAGATATACAGGGTGTTCGATGAGAAATTATGACGTCAGATGGAAACATTTTTTTTTTTTACCAATTATCGTTTGCGTAAGATTGTGACTGTTTTTGGAAATTTAATTAGTGGAGAAAAAATGGAAAAAAAAATTATCGTCAGGTATCCTTTCCATCGTGACGTCATACTCGTTTCAACGTACTTCAGAGACAGATAGACCAGGACGAAATCCTTGCGTTCCGGAAGCACCAGGGCATCCTGATAATTTATGACGCGAAACAAAGACCGCCCGGTTTTACCGCGTTAACGTTGGTCGTTCCTCGTGCGAAATGTCCATATTGCTGTTATTTCTGTTATTACGTACGCCCGGTGGCGGCGATGTACTTACACTCGCGCAAGGGTTTCCTAATGCGTGTATAACAGCGAGTAGAAAATGGTCGGAGGGGGAAGTTCGAGCTGTACCCACACGGATGGCCGAGCATTTGTCGTTGGCACCGCTCGCAATTATTTTCATAATCTACTATACGCTATTTGCTTCTCCGAGTGTACGCTTAACGAGGAACGGGCATTCTGGGCTATACGAGAGGCTGCATAAAATGCAATTAGCAGGATTCCAAAGTCCTGGACCGACTATAAAGCTTTGTTTCGATCCCCTTGGCCCTCTGACCCAACTTTACCCCATACCGGAAGAACGACTCACCCCTCC